TAAAATGCTGAAGGCCCATTGAAGTAAATTGACAAATTTAAGTCAAGTGAACATAAATCCGGATTTACCTCCTTGCCAAAAATAATCCCACCAGAGTCAATACTCATGGTTTATCAGCAGATAAGCTGATGCTGCTGTCCCCACTTCTCAGGTTGGTGGCACAGTGGTTTCTTGGGGTGAGAGGTTTGTGCTGTCTGGACATTGAGGGTAGGTCTCCCTCCTCATGTCACCCTACACAACTGGTCTCCAGACTAAGAGGATTTCTACTGTAACAATAAAAGCTCTACTCTAACAAAAACCCTCTTGAGTGGGAACCTGCTGAAATTTATAACCCTTATGTGCTGAGGATGCTTTTATTCCTTGTGATCTGTTTTTCAATGTCATATGTAAAAACCTGGAATGGGAAGGGACACTGGCTGACATTGACATCACAAATTAATTATTCTGGGATTTGCTGTTGTTTCTCTTCTAAATCATAGAGCTGTCATTGCTTGGCTGGGTGTAGTAAATAGTGCTGAAGCTCTGCAGCTCGTGCATGTCTGCTCTGACTCATAAATTGCAAAGCAAAAATTGAAATGGGTGAATATAATTAAATATTCATTCATTAGAGCTAACTTTAAAAATTAGAATTTTTTCTGAATAATCACAGAGTATTAATGTATATCTGTCATGATGGGTGTGTTGATGAGGAGGCACTTAACTCTCATCAGGGATATTTTCCAACAATTACATCTTGTATCTATGCATCTTGTTTTGGCCCTTGCAGATGAAGTTGTTCTCCCTACTCCGGCATAGAGTAACTGTCTGCAGGGATGATCCTTGCCTCAGCAAGGAGGGTGGGAGCGGCTTTACCACTCTCCACAGGTGTGGGATGTGGGGCTGGCAACACCCTTAAGGAGCTCCTGAGTGGCAGTAAGCAGAGTACCCTTCTCTGCAGGAGCCTGGGGAAGAGAGAGCTCAGGGGCTTGGAACAGCAGCCTTCCAAAACCTCGGTGCCTTGGGCAGTAAGCTGGTGTCTAAGACCTTGTGGGGTAAAACATGGAGCAACATTTTTCATTGCATGGATATTCAAATCACTCTTTTTAACTGCAGCTAAACAAAACCTCCCAATTGCTAAAATACAGCAAAAAGAAAATGCCAAAGAGAAAATAATGTGAGAGACGCTGGAATGAGCGACAGGTTGCCAAAGAAAAACTGAATTGCCAGAGCTGTTTCTAACAATGAAGTTTGTTTTCGAAGATTGGGAAAACAATGAAAAACTTCTGGTAATGTTGATATAAGACCAGGTAGACAAGATGCCATGGTTTGTTGCACGCAAATCAGTGTGCAGGGTCATTAGGAGCTGCTCTAATGTGTGTAGCCCTCACCTTTCCCTGAACTGCACCTTGGTACAGGGGGTTGGAACAGCTCACTGCTCACAGTAAAATGTTGTGCTGTTCAGCAGCAGAAAGGTGAGGAGGATATTCCTTGAAGAGAATAAGAAGCAGTTAGTGTCCTGAAAAGAGGAAAAAGAGGAAAATCTTCCAAGAGAAAAATCTGTGATGACTACATCTGCACAATTTAAGCAATATTTAAGGAGACGTATAACAATAGCCTGTAAAGGTTACAAGGTTGCAACCATGCATGGAGGATAAGAATTTTATATGAAAGTCCAAAGGATGTCAATCAGTACTTTAAAATTAAACAAGGGGAAATTAATCTAAGTAGCTGCGTAATCATGCTCTGTGATAGATTATGGATTCTTTTAAATTAAAAGTGCTGGAAGGGTAAAGAATTAGTTTGATTAATTTTCTAGTTTGAGTGAAGAAGTTAGAAATTGTTGAGTTGAAAATGACCTGTGTTATGGCTTGCCATGATTTAAACGAAAAAATTTTAGCTATTTCTAGACTTCAAAAAAGTTTAACAAAAGCAACTTGCATTATTCATTATTATTGAGACTTTGCACCTTTTTTTTTAGGATTAATTGGGAGTGAGAAAACATCTCAAAAATACGTTTTCTTTCTATGATTTCATAATAGTTTTGCACTGTTATTGCTGGTGAATTATAACCCATATCCCTAGTTACATTTTTGTATTCTTTTCTGTTTTGATATGTGATTCAATATGCCTGACTCTGATCTCTTTCAGCCCCCTTTTTTCCCCCCTTGATCAGTGTTGTGTGTCATATTCATTCTGCTTTTGGTTTTCATCATTAAAATGACATTTTTCATCTTCTGCTTCACTGCACTGTTGGGGACTTGCCACTTCTTTTACTCGCCCTTTCTGCTCTTACTCATGGCAAAAGAAATAATGAATCAAATAAGAATTCCTGCCATAGTTACCTACAAATCCTGCATATGAAATTTGACTTGGGAAGGTGATGTTTGTGGCAGCATGGAGCCACCTTGGCATTCTTGTAATGCTTAAGAGAAAACAGAGCATTTTCCCATTGCCATGTCCTTGGAAAAGGCATTTCATGGCAATTCTCAGCCACTGGAATGGAGGGGTCTGTGGCACTTTGGCTGAAGATCTGTTCTTTTACTTTCTGGAGATGCTTGCAATTAAATGAACATAAGAGTAGAGATTATTATACCACCTCTACTTGAATGAAAAAAGGGAAGTCAGCTCTTCCAAAAAGGATTTTTCAGGTGCTGTTCTCTGTCAGAAATGTCCTACAGAAGGTAAATGCTCCTATTTTACAAGGATCAGTCTCCTGAAATGTCAGTGACTGTAAGTCTGTACAAAGAGATTGTCTGATGGCACAGGACAACTCTGTTGGCTGTTTTCAATATCTCCAATGACATACTCCAAAACTCATCACAGTTTTTCTGGATTACTTCCTTCTGGTGTAAAAACTGAAGGCAAGCAGAAAATTAAGACACTACCACAAAGAAAATTTGAATCTATTGCGAAAACACCTATCATCATTCTGTCCTTATGCTTCAGATCTCTTCCTGTGGTTGTCTCAATAAATCTAAACATATTGTGACAAAATTAACCCCAAAATCCCAGAAATAAATCCTTTATTATAATATTTCAAAGTTATTTTTTTTAAAATTAAACTAAACCATAGTGTATCTGTAAATGTGAGAAAATTTTGGTGAATTATTGAAACTTCTCACATTCATATGAAATTAGCAAACTTACAAATCCCAGAAATAAATCCTTTATTATAATATTTCAAAGTTATTTTTTTTAAAATTAAACTAAACCATAGTGTATCTGTAAATGTGAGAAAATTTTGGTGAATTATTGAAACTTCTTCTCACATTCATACGAAATTAGCAAACTTATCATCAGCTTTTCTAATTAAGGAGAAATTGAAATCAACACATTAAAGCTGAAGAATTTTTATAGCCATTTTGATTGATTCCATTGAAATTCACTACAGGGTAATATATTGTTCTGTAAAAGAATTCACTGCAGAAAAATGTTACAAGGTTATGGGCTATTTCACAAAAAAAACTCTACTAATTGGCTGAAAAGGCTGGGTTTAATCTATGTATTAGTGCACATAAACTGAGAAAAAGAGTTAAGGCAAGCATAGAAGCAGACTTTGAAACTGCAGTAATATGAAAGAATATAATAGAACAGGATATTAAATAATATAGTTGAGATATAATATCTAGAAGAAATGTAATTTTGTGTAATTGCCAAAGTAGCACTTTAGGTCAAATAATGAACAATATTATAAAAGGATTAGTCTGACACTGTGTTCCAGTTCGTAAATGACACAATTTACTTTTCATAGCTTACATATTTTCTTAGGTGAGATAACAGTTAATTTTCACCTCTTCCATACAAACCTTATATTCATTGACCAGAGAAATTAATGTTTTGCCTTAGGGATTGTCTAAATTTTATACACCAGAATGAGTCAACAGTGAGGTTTTTCTCACATCTGTTTTCTATCTTGGTGTTTCAAAGGGGAAATAACAGCTCTTGTGGATCTCCAAGTCAATTTACTGCAGGTCACATCCTGCCATAAGTAGCTCTTGGCCTTTGGAAACCCCATTGTATGTGTTTATTATTGACTTCATGGAATTATTTGCAGCCTGCCCTACCTCTCACACTCACTGTGAGCAAGTTTGGGAGCACAAAACCACAAGGCATGTGACAGTTCTGTACTGAAATGAGCACCACTTTGGAGCTATCTCGTGCCTTACCTGTGTGATATTATTTGTGACCATTATTCTCCACGGTGCTGCAGCAGACCCTGGAGGAACTGCAGGGACTTGATGCCTGATCTTCCAAAGAGCACAGCAAGTACTTGCACACCCCAAAAATGGACAAATTTTATATTATACATGGTGGAAGTAGAGAGCAATGGGAGTTATTCATGCCAAGTGCACTGAATCTGTGGCCCCGTGATTGAAGATGCTTATGTGGGAAATGAACAGTTCTGTAGTCCTGGTCTATAGTCAGTTGCCAGGTAACTGCTTTCAGAGAATCAGCAGAAAAAGTATATTTTCTTAATATCTATTGAGTAGATCATAATTTTAGCTTTACAAGGAGCTAGTTTATATTTCCACAATGATCCCACTGATTACTACCACACACTGCACTAAGCAAGGTCTTCCCCCATATATCAGCTGTCAAGAGTCAGCATTTTAAGTATAGTATATGTGAACATGACTTAAAATAATTATTAAATATTTATTGCTGTATTCTACCTCTTGCCAAGCAGGAATACTGAAGCTGGGAAGAAGGGAAGAAAATCCACAGGATTTCCCTTTCTCTCATTTTTGTTTTTCTCCTCCTCTTGTTTTGCTCTCTCCCTTTTCCTCCTGTCCCAGTTGTACGCTCCATAATGGTGAAATGGTGAGAAACAGAAAAAATGCTGGAGGAAATGCCAGAAGTACAGGTAAAAATACATCTTCTTGAACTCAGGAGTAAAGGCTACAGATTTTCCAGATTTTCCTCAGGCTTTAGAAAAACCACTGTTAGAAATACCAAGCTACATAAGAAGAAGGGGCAGCTGTGGAATTTAACAGTCCTAAAGGCATGAAAGATTGTGTCAAGTATGTGAATAATAGAGGAGGAGCTTACATCACTGGTTTTTGAGTAATTTTCTGTTCACATTCAGTATGCAAAACCCTGTCTAGTGGACTCAAGACTATGGATAAACATTTTTTTTTCCTTGCTTACTTTCAACAGGCTGATGAGAAGTCACCCTCCCACACCCAGAGGCCATGGGCTGTGAGTGAACCAGTTCACTCTGGAGCTTACAGAGAAAGAGAGACTCCTCCAGAAAGCAATCCAGTTCGGCAGCTTTAGTCATTAACTTTTGCTGTACTGATGCCCCCCAGAGCAATTCCACGTTCTATTGAATGAAAGGAAAAACAACCCCAGAATATATCCACTGGTGTCTTTTATTAAGTTATGCAAAATACAGTATTAATTATGACACTGCATGCATTTTAGACAATATAAATGCAAGCCTACAGAAAATGTGACAAAGAAACCCTCAATTACTTTTGAGGTAGTATACAAGGAAAAATAGGAAAGCAGAAACACAGTGGATTAAAAGAACAAAATATTAGTATCACTGTGCATACATTAGTCACTCATAAATACATTTGTATGAAATAACTTAAGATACAATTCCATTCTTGTTAAAAAATATAGTTCTTCAAATTCACCATTCTTGTTTTTTTTTTTTTTATTTCACATGACATTTTATGGTATTTTATCAGGTGGGTTTATTTTTTTTGTCACTGTCATCATGATTTTACCCTTTTCCTCCAAGTATTTAGGCACAGATGGCCTCATGCACAAAAATAAATAAGAAACCTGCTTGAAGGGAAAAGAATTCTGCTCAAATAGCTTAGGATAGTCTAATAAATACATTTTTGTTTATAAAAATATTTCAGGTTTATAAAAGAGGGGAGTCTCCCATGTGGAAAGGATGTCAAGTGAAAAGTGCTGTATAACGTTTTTGAGATTTTGTTTTAAACATATAGTACCGTTATGAATATATATTTTATAATAATCCTGCTTCTTAGAACCTTATTGTTCACTAGAAGTATCAAACGCTCTTTTCTTCCTTTTGTCTGCTGTCTTATTGCCATTTGGGGAGGTGCCTAGTTCAGAAGGGTTCCGTATAACTGTGCTTTTGTAAGGCTGTCCTTCCGACTCAGACCAGTGCTCCCAGTCCTCTGGAACTGCGGCGGTTTGCTGTGAACACCCGAATGGCTTCCTTGATCCATGGAAGACTGGTGGATTTCTGGAGCCTCCACTGAACTCTGATTGAGTGACTCTGCTGAGCTGTTGGGGCTCACGTCCACGTATTCTCTTTTCAATACCGGGCTGTTTTCGATGTTTTTGCTACTGCATAACTGGACGGTGATCCTTTCGTTTTTTTGGTCTCTTGATTCTTTTGTTTTGTAAGCGGGCAATTTGTCCTGTTTACAGCTTGTGCTGATGTCAATGTTCAGGCCACTGTCTGTTCTCAGGAAGCAAGAATCCACAAGTCTGCTTTGGCAGATGTCATCTCCCTCTGAGCAGCTGTCTGCTTTGTAACTAGCATAGATGGGGCTTGTTCGACTGTCCCCTTTCTTGATGGGGCTGCTGTAGTACTGCTCTGAGAAGCTGCAGGGTGACAGCCTGCCAGCATTCCTGTAGGAGTATGCTCCAATGTCCTCCACACTCAGCTGCCTCCATCGCCCTGGCAAGTCTTCTTCTGAGAGGTGGGTGCTCCTGCACTCATTCCTCATTTTCTGGTTTGCCAAAGCCTGCTGTGGTGTTATGGCTGAGAAATGAAAAGGTTCGTTTGCATATGGAGGCAGAGTCCTGGTAAAAGTGGGTGAGTTCTCATTGTCGTCAGCAAGCTCCATGTGCTGTGCAGGTTTGGGCTTGGCAAACCTGGGGCTGCCCTGATGCTCGTAACCCGCGGGGGACTTCCTTTCAAAGAGCTCGTCTCGGTTGCTCATGTAGATCGCCTGCTGGGAGGCTGTCAGAGTGTTGGCCTGGGCGTTCTCCTTCTCCTCAGACGTGACGCTGAAGCTGGAGTAGGAGCTGGAGGTTGGCAGAGAGGTAATGTACTCCGGGAAGGCTTCGTGGGAGAAGCTGGAATGGAAACCATCTTCTTCCACAGTGCTGTCTGTGGAGTTTTGGGACCGCAGGAACCCCACGTCTTTCACCTGTGTGTCCACGCTCTGCCGCCTCTCCCTCCTCCTCTCCTCCGGGCAGTAAAGAGCTGTGTCACTGCAGTAGATGTCGGACTTGTACTGGGGTCTTTGTCCCACTTTTCCAGCAGAGTCCTGAAAATTGAGATCCCTCGTGGATGGGCTTGACAAGTGTGAGGACAAGCTGTGTGGGTCTGGTTTTTCCAGTACTTTGGCAATGACACAAGTGGGTATGGTATCAGCATAGGAAGTGTGGCACAAGGGGACAGAAAGGCTGCACCCGTGTTTCTCCAGGTGGATGCTGACTCTTTCCTGAAAGTCAGTTGGCAACTGCAACATAAAGAGATGGCAAGGAGAAAGGAGAAAAGGGTGTGTGTCAATAGAGGTGTCAGAGGAGTGCTGTTTATGGCATTACATAGCTCACCATACCTGGTCTTTGTGATGGCCACAATCTTTGTGCATTTCTTGAAACAAATGTAATCAAATGAATTTTGTTTGTTTATTTAACATTTGTACATCTTCATCTGCTTTTGCTCACAGATAACACTGTGAAACTGAAATGTTTCCTTCCAAATTAATTCAGGTTGGATAAGAATGATCACAGAATTGCTCAGGTCAGAAGAGGCCTCTACACTCATCAAGTCCAGCCATTAACCCAGCACTTCCAGGTTTATTTTACTGATGTAAATAAAGTATGTAGTAAACAATGATCTTAAAAAGGTAGGTAGGGAATTACAGCCTACAGCAACACTTTCCAGACTGTGTGCTTGGGTGTGATTTGCAGTTGGAGTGTGGGTGTGCAGAGGTCTCTGTGGGGGTGAGGAAGGAGGAAGAGATAATATCTATTCTGTTCTTCTTTTGTCTTTCCTCAAGTTCATCTTGCCTACAACCCCATGCCAAATTGGCTCCTGCCCTCCAGCATCACCTTTGATAAACAATGCTGTTTGAAGATGCAGAGAAGCTGTCTGACACTTATAGAAGTGGTGCTGGCTGCTGTGACAGGATTATTCCTGTGCTGGGAAGAAGCAGATCAAGCTGGCTTCCTTGCCCCTTCAGCTGGACACTGCTTGTCAGATCAACCATCCACATAAACCTGAACACACTGACAGAAAAAAAGCACCAAGACCTGAATTCACATTGTGATTCCTGTGACAGAATTAATCAATAAGTCTGTTTTGAAATAATTTAGGGGTTTTTTTTAGAAAGTCAGGACCAGGGCTGTGGATGGTGGTTTCACCTGCCATTCTGTCATGTGGACCAGAAGAGAGAGAGAGAGAGATGACATTCCTTGGTGAAGTGTACTCAGGTATCACCAAGCATGCTTTCCTGTCAAATTTTATCTGCCTTGCTCACTTGAGATCTCTAACAATGATCAGAAAGCAATATGGGAGAGGTTGTCTCTCCCTATTTCTTGCTGGAAATCATAATTCATGCTTGGAATAAGTTTTGAGTTTGTGATTTTGTTAGGTCCTTTGGTATTTCTGTTGATTTATGCCACTTGGGAATTAATCCCTTCGGTGCTGGGCTGAACAGTGATTTACTCAGCACTTTCTTTTTATAACTAGAAATCAAGTTCCTCTTCACAAAATAGTCAGTGGTTAAACTTATGACCTTAGCAATCTCACTTCCTCCTTAAATTTGTTCCTCTAGAGGAGAGAACACCACAAATACTGGTAGTTGTTCCCCTCCTCTTTATTTTTGACAAAGGAAATTTAACCTGTCTGCTCCTTATCATGGCTTCACATTTTGTAAGATATGGAGATCCTCTTTTAATTTCATTGGGAAGTTGTTTTTAAAGCTGGTTTAACCCCCAAACCTCACTGTGTTCAGAATATGGCATGCAGTGAAATTACATTCCTGTTATTTGTAGTAGGACAAGTGTTTTTTCAACCAGCAGCCCTTCCAGGATATTTTGGATTAATCATTATGTTGCTAATTAAGTCATATGTCCTCCATTGGAAATAAATGATATTGCCAGTCTGCTGGAAGACAGCAACATTAGTCATAGTAAGTACAGATGCAACAAAGATTGAATAAACAGGTTGTAAAATAGGCCTGGTGTGAATTGCCATAAAAATGAGGAAAAGAAATACAGTTAATTAATGTGAAAATGCTGTATGGGGCAGCTCTTATTTTAGTATCCTGTAGCACCACTGTTTGATCTATTTTATATACGTTATTAAGATTATGAAATGTGTTAAAAAGAACATTATTTTGGGGGCACTGCACTGGAAACTGGAATTACTAAAATGATACTGCTACCACATTGCTATATTTTACTACAGCTTAGGTTTCTGGATAACATATAATAGTTTATCAGGCAATATTTGCATTTGTAAAGAATTTATTGGCTGTGACAGCACATTCACGCTTGCTAAATTAATAAATGCTTGGACTAATGAGTGGAGACTGCCTATTTAACTGAGTATATGACAGTCTGGGAAATTGTTGGGAGATCTCACATTTGTGATAGTTCTCTGCAAATAAACAATTAAATACTTTTAAGGTCTTAATTAGAACAGGTAGAGTGCTTTCAAGTGTGAGTAATGTAATGGTAATTCCTTGATACAATTTGCTAAGGGAAGTCAGTTAACAGGAAAAAATAACACGACCAAGATAATGGTTAATAATAATGGTTAATTGGAAATTCTGTCTCTGTTCCATAAAATCATAGCCTGGTGGACAGAAGAATCTTGCTCCATCTTTATTTACCAGGGTTGTTCAGTGCTCTGAAGCCATTTACTGACTTAGAGATGGTTTGTACATTCCAAATTTAATTTTGCAATATTCCACTGCAGAATTGCACAAGAGCGGCCATTTGGGGGGAGGTTGACCTGATGGTGCTGAAGAAGGAAAGGCTATTCCTTGTAACCTTCACTGAAGCAATATGTGCGAGGAAGGTGCTATGGTTTTCTGCAGGGCCTGGATCCCTAAAGAACTGTCTTCTAAACTAAGATAATATTTGCCTCCCCTTTAAGGAGCCTATTTCTCAAGCCTTGTTTCCTTGGAAGCAAGGATTATTAATTAAAGTTTCCACCTTGGAAATCAATCATTCAGTGCTCTGGTTTCTTTAGAAAAAGATATTTGTTCTGGCAGTCCATTTTAAAATTTGGGTTTGGAAACTAGCTGGACTGGAAAATAGCTTCAGGAGGAAAATTGATTATATCAGAATCTCTGACGCCTGTGGCTTGTCATTTCCCTGCTCTCACCCCACTGCTCCTGCACAGCATTTTGCATTCTGGAGTTCACAGCACTTCAGTGTTTTACAAAACCTTTGCTTTACAGGCAATCAGTGCAGGCCCATTCTACTGGATAGGAGAGGTTTGGGGAAAGAAAGTGCCTTCAAGTTCCACCACGGGCTGTGATTTTGTCAGCACCACCCTCGATTGCACAAACACCAGCAGGTGCACGAGGCCTCCTGTGGCTTAAAGGAGGGTGTGTGGAGGAATAAAAGCCTTAAGGGCAAACAAATTCTGCAGTTGGTACATGCAAAATAACCCTTTTTCCATACAATATTTATGTCATCGAACAAGTGTGGTCACATTACCTCTGAAAGTTTATGTGCCCTGTCATAGTTCTTGCTGCACTGGAGAAGCTGAGCAGCTAAATTGCAGTCCTTCCTGTAGAGCTCCTGGAAAAAACAAAAAATAACCTCTTCTTTAAAGTTTGCAAAGCACTTGTGGCTTTCAGCCTTTCTCCCATGCCTGATCAATCCTTTCAAAATTCACTTTGGGGAGATTTGGAGCACACCTTAATTTCTAAACAAATTATGATGCTTTGTTGTTTCTTGCACAACCTAGAGATATTTCCTCCTTTGCTCTGTGAGGGCTGATAAAATTGCTAAGAATAAACTTTTGAGACCTGTTATAACAGAACAGTAATCTGCATTTCAAAAGATGGATTTTTACCATTAAGAACTGAATTTTACAGTGTTAACATGCATGGTACTGTGATCTTTTAAGCAAAAAAGAAAATTTTTACTGGGTGTTATCCAGGTGAGCAATAAAATACTACTTTAGAAAGTGCTAAAATAATATTATGAGACTGTGGGAGAAATTAATTACAGAAATATACATTGTGTTGATTTTTTTAAAAGGGAGACTTTCTCCTTTTGATATTTCTGGATAGTTCCTGGCTTCTTTAATATCTTGCAGAATGCAGCTATAGAAATATATTAAATCTCACTGCAAATATTTGATGCTGCAGAATCGAATATTTTCACTGGGCAAGAAATTACCATGAGAATTCCACACAAGGAAGGAGAGAATTTAAGCAAGCTTCTTATACTATCTTGGTATTGAATGGCTCCCACAGCCTATTTAATGGGAAAATTCAGCACACAGATTTGCCCTTCACTTAAATTTAATTTAGCACACATGACTGTGTAACTGTATCCTTCAACCAGTATCTCTGGCTCCCTGAAGGTAGGAGTTGTATTTTGTTTTTCCTTTTGCTTTGGCTTCAGAAGCTGACTTTATAGGTGGGCAGAGATGAGATATACAAAGCATGAAAGTGCTATGGGCACTGGGCTGTGTTATTCTGTAAAAATTAGTATGTGTTTCTAGACAAAAGGTGTGGAATCCTGATATAATTTGGATTTTCTCTGATGTTAATGTCATAATTTTACTGCATGCCAGTTTTTATGGCTACATTAATTCTCTTAAAAACTCATAAAGAAATTTTCTGTGAAAAATAAAGTTCCTCTGTTTTAAAGGGCAATTTTAAAGTATTCTGTAATAAGAGAAGAAACAAGATGTTCTTGTGAGTCTTTCATTGATGGGGATAGTTGTCCTGTGAACATTAGTTCATATTTTTTCACATTCAAGGACCTTTAGACACTTTTGTTTTGTGATTTTTTTATACATGCCCCTTCTGCTGCAAATGTACTGTAATCATTTATGTGGATCTTAAATTTTATATTAGGACACACTATTTCATTCCTGAAAAAGAACCCAAGAATTCAATTTAGAAGTAAAATCTGTGGCATGTGCGTGTGAGTTTGATATGTTGCATATACATTAAACCCAATTTATATTGCTGCACAGTGTACAGCACAGACAGGTACCCCGAGTCCCTTATGGCATTTCCAGGCACACGAAAATTATATCTCTCCAGAACCTAATCCTTTCTTCAAAAGCTCTGTGCCTCTCTTTCTGCTCAGTGGTTGTCATGGAGAGCACAAAAAGCATTTCTGACACTTTATTTTTAGCAGCTTTAAAAATTACTATAGAGAAATTACATGTGAGCTACATGTGCCACGTGTACTTTGTTCTCAACCTGCTGGGCCAAGCCATGTGACTGGAGTGACCTTCTCTCCTTTAATGTTTGCCTCAGTGGAAACCAGCCATATCTGTGGCAACCAGAACAATCACTAGCAATTAATGCCAGAAGTGTTTCCCACAGTTTAAAATCTGTTTTTGTATCGAAAGCATCATTTTACATTTCTGTCAGAAGAGAGAGGGAAAATATAATTGAAGAAAGAAATATTGCTGAGACAAAAACATTCTCCCCATGTAGGATTAGTCAGTTTATCACTTCTGTACTTATTAGGTATAATATTAGTGGTTTGTTTTGTAGTCCTTTATTTTAAAATTTGGAATGTAACCTTGACTCCTATTAGTGATACTACATATAATCATAGATTATCCTGAGCTGGAAGGGACCCACAAGGATCATCAAGTCCAGCTCCTGGCCCTGCACAGAACCACCCCCAAGAGTCCCACCCTGTGCCTGAGAGCATTGCACAAACACTTCTTGAGCTCTGTGAGGCTGGGGCTGTGAGCACTGCCCTGGGGAGCTGTTCCAGAGCCCTCCCCTCCGGCTGAAGAACCTTTTCCTGACATCCAACCTAAACCTCCCCTGACTTAATTTCATGCTATTTTCTCAAGACCTGCAAGGGCAGTGCTTTGTCCATGGACTAACCTCAAGTCTGAAGAAGTGGTTCTGTTATTTGAGGCCTCCGGACCATATTCTAGTGCTCAGAGTAGAACTATGAGTACTGAAAACACTTCAAATGTGCCTTCAAACCTGACTCCATGAAGCAGTATAAATGCATGCATACTTAAAGGGAGATTTCTGCAGCTTTCTTCCACCTCTGTTCTAAATCAAAAATAGCTCCACTGATTTCAGGTGAATTACTCTGCAGGTATACCTGTGCTTCCAAAATCTGGATGTAGCCCATTACTTTTACCACACTCCATTACTTATAGCTGTTAGAGTTATAAAGTAACTCTTCTTTCAACTCAAGTTCTATAAAAGTTAGGGGTCAGATTGGGAACTTTTTATTTCAGTTGGAAAGCTGTTAATTGCACAGGCAGAGTTCACATCAACAGGCATTTTAATGAGATTAAATGCTCCCAGCTACGATTAAGAGTTCATGGGAAATATAGGAAGATTGAAAGTAAGATGCTGGAAAATAAGTGCTAACAGAAACATGTCTTCTGTAGATGAATTTTTTATTAAATGTGGAAGGAATGGCACAATAATGAACTAAATGCCTGCAATATTCCTCTCTTTGCTGTCTTTGCAGGTTTGTCTCAGGAAGGATTTAATGAGCCTGTTGCCAGCTGTGCTACTCATGCAATTTTCCAGTAGTGTTTAATGAGATGGAGGGTGACAATGGCCAGAGATGTTCCCTGTTTTGTCCCACACAGAGACAGGTACATTTTTACACACAAACAGCTGCTGGGGAAAGCCTGGCTCCTGCTCCCTGCAGGAGTGGTCTGGGTGGCCAGGCTGGGTCAGTCCTGCCTTCTGCTGGCAGAGCCGGCTTGTGCTGGGCTTTTTGGTGAGCAAAGACTGAAAGATCAAAGAATTGCAAGAAATGTAGGGCTCTGCTCTGTGCCTAAAATCCTTCTGATGAGTCCCCACTCCACACGTGTCCCTGCAACAGCTCTGACCATGTGCTTGCACCAATTTGCTGTACTGATGGCAAAATCAATGTTGGAATATTGCCATGTCTTAAAATATTTTTTCATCAGTTTCAGGCTAGACGTAAGGAAAAAAATATCAATGAAAAGTCTCACCACAACCTCATAGCATAAGGAGAGCTAAATTTACAAAATGTTGGGAACAAACAAACAAACATGAATTTTAACTGTTAAGGTGGCAGGTTACATTTTATACAAACATAAAATACTATTCTATAATTTCTTGCACTGGGAAGTGCAAGACCCAATTTGTTTCTGAATATAATCTCAAAATGAATAATTAAATACTTACATTGTCTTCTGACAACTTATCTATTGTCACCTTGGCTTCTATTAAGTGATTATTGAGTGCAATTATTTCATGGCTCAAAGCCCGTTTTTCCTCTTCATAGTGCTGACCCTGTGTAGAAAACAGAGTAGTCAGTGTTTTTCTACTGTCAGAATATTCCAGATAAAGGTCCAGAGGTTGATGTCATTCTCAAATCCAGAGAAAAGCACAACAGACCAACACTTCTTTTTTCTTTTTTCCTGCCCCCTCCTCTTATTTATTTTCTCCATTATTTTGCTTAGGAGATGAGGTAAAGTTCTTTAGAACTATGGAGGTCAGACTGAGCTCATTTAGGAACCTTCACAGAAGGCTCCCGTTAGCCTGTGCAAAAGCATTCTATTGAGCATCAACCAATACATCCCTTCTCAGTCACAGGACAGGGTCTCTAACATGGAAGGGACTGGAGCTGCTCTTTTACTGCAAGAACGTCTCACTTATGCTATTATTTCCCATCCTCACAAGGAAGGAAGAACAATACTTAAAAAGAAAAGCAGTTGTGTTTGAGCCAGTTTCATTTTAGCTGTTGACTGTTCTGGCTGATTTAAAAGCCCTGATTAAGGTTGTTCATTTCTCAAGGTGAATGTTTACCTGATTGCAGGGTTAGCACTCATTAGCAGAACACAATCCACTGTGGCATATCAGGAAAACAGTCTGATTCAAATTTCTTTCTGCCCACTAATTTAATCTTGTTACCAGTAGGATGTAACTCTTTATAAAGATCAGTGGAAAGAATGAAATGCCACTAGCCCTTCCCACCCTTTATTTCATTTTGATACTCAGTGTTTATTGTACTGCTTCTCGTATCAAAAATCATGTGTACCAGTCATTTATAACCCTGCCTCCAGCCTCACATTGGTGTTAAAAAGTATGGTAGCTTCTGGGTGCTCTGAGATCAAGGCATCTTCTGTGCACTCAGAGCTGCAACAAGAAGGTTTGCAAAATATCTTGAGGGTCTTTTAGGAAGGTACATTGCCTTAAGAGCAGAAAGTAGGGTAAACCCTAATACATGTCTGTTTTGTTTAGTGAACTCAATCCAGTGACAAATTCACAGTCTCAGTGGTGCTGAGCAATAGGACAAGAGGCAACACGTGGAAACTGGAACATGGGAAGTTCACCTGAATATGAGGAAGAATTCTGTAACTGTGAGGGTGTCTGAGCAATGGAACAGGGTGCCCATAGAGGCTGGGAGATATTAAAAATCATCCTGGACACAATTCTGAGTAAAGTGCTCCAGAGTACCCTATTTGAGCAGGGATATTGGACTAGATCTCCAAGTGGATCTAGTGGATCCAGTTCACTAGAAGTGAAGTGGTCCCTTCCAACCTCAACCATTCTGTGCTTCTGTGAATGTCATTTCCCGTTTTTAGTTGCGAAGGACCAAAATTTCCCAAATGCCATATTGCCAGGGTCACACAAAAATCTTCTATCAACACACACTTGACATTGTCAGCTAATTGACAGCAATGGGAATTGGGTGTTTTGAAGTCCAAATGAATTTCAAGGTTAATTATCCAGCTGCAAAACACCAGCCTGTATTAAAGGAGGGTGATTAAATTGGAAGTGGCAGCTCTCATCCTAAGCTGCTATTTAAAGAAAAACACCTTCTCAAAATGGTCTGAGTGAACCCACAGCTTGCTTTACCATGCAGATATGATTGAAGTGTCTTTGTGAAGGCCTGGACTGGCCTATTTTAGTGCCAGCTCTCTGTGGACTGTCTGTTCCCTGCTGTTGCCAGCCCTCTGTCCTGACAGGCCAGGTCTGGAGGCTGGCCCAGGTTTGACACCTCTCCCCTCCTTGCTCCCATTGATCAGGCACTCCTGCCTCGGGACTTCCTCATGGAAGGCCAAAATGTAGCTTTGAGAGCTTGCAAAGCTCCAACCTCAGTGATTTTAACCAGACACAGGGCTATGTTTTTAATTAGGCAGATCAACGTGGTTTTATATGAGACCCTTAACTCTCACTGATTTTATAGTGAACTAAACAACCAGGCACTTTGTAAACCTCCTGGCCATCTGTGCACCTCTAAAAATCTGTCTCCTTTGAGACTGTGACTGAAGATTACATTTTTAAAGGTATTTAGCTGTGTAATGAGGTAGACAAGTGACTACCTAAGTACCAGCAAAAAATATGTCCCCTCAATTTTCGAAGTAATTTCATGCTTTTGAAGGATCCAGGTCCACTGAGTACAGACATAATCTTCCAAATAACCATTTGTATTGAAGATTTTATCAGTCCTTGTATGACAAGTTGTCATATCAGGACGGCTGATTTGTAGAACTCTGTTGCTCTAAATCTCTCCGATCTCAGTAACTGTTGCTCTTGCTTAGCCAAATTGAACTTTACTCATTCTATCTTGCAGTTCAGGAGAGAATATCTGATCAAGGATTTATAGTTTTCAGGAGAGAAACCAATAAGGCATCAGATTCAGGCATTTGAAGCACTACTTTCCACTGCATTTGAGTAATGCTGACTCTGGCTGAATTATGATTTAATTTTATTTCACTTATGATAACATTTGGATGACGTTTCCCAGACTTTTTATCTGCTTGAGTGTGACTTTAAAAGATATTCTATATTTATTGAACTGCAAAACTCGTCTGTTTAAATTTATACTGTACAGGTCAGCAGGTGGACACCGAAGTAATAAACATCTCAGCAGTGCTGTGCAGAAGAGGGAATAAGAAGGAAAGGCCAGTCCCAATCTTCTCCATCATTATTAGTTTGAAATCTGTGTCATTGACAAGAGCAAAAAGTCTGTTTCAGTGTGGCAAAATGAGGTAGCCTAAAGGTGGGCAGGACTATGGCATATTGGACACACACTGTGTGTCCATCTTTAGAAGTTCAGGGCTTCAGCCAGGTGTTATTGTGGTGCAGTGGTGGCAACAAGAGGACAAAGGCTTAATCCTGACACCTCCTATGGGAGAACAGTGCTGGAAGGGACAGAATGGTGGAGTTGGATCACTGTATTAGAAGGATTGCTGGCCACTGGAGGCTGCAACTTTGAGCTTTCCACTTGCAGTCAAGCAATCATTTTCAGCATCAGATTGTCAGAGAGGCATGAAAGGAGGATGGGAATCATAATATCAATGCCATGATCACGAGTTACAAATATAAATGCTTATTTTACTTGTAACCACTTTTGGCAGATCCCTCTATTTCTGGTAGCTTATAGAAGCTTGGTCCTCCTACTCTACCATAAGGCTTGTGACCCCTCCTCCCTCCTTTTGGCACTGCTTTCTGCTCTGCAGGTGCTCATACCCTCTCTCTCAAAGCTCAGTAGTGAATTAAATCAGTGCTGTTATTGATGTCCCAATAGCTTGCAGCTGGGCTGAGGTTTCCTGAAGTCCACTCCAAAATGCCAGAGCCACAGAATGCAGTGGGCTGAGTGGCTGGTGGATCCTTGTTCAGAAATCTTTGTTGAGTCAGCTCTGTGCATGCTCTGCCCCCCTCATCCCTTGACACAGAGCCAGCACACGAGAGCACAGCTCTGTGGTGTCTGACTAACACAAGAGAACCACAGTCATGTGCCCACATCTGAGTCAGATCAAATTTGTTCTGCTGGGTGAATCCAGCAGTCACAGCACCTAGGCTGAGGGCACTTGCTCCTATCCTGGATTTAGCATGACCCCAGTGCCTCCTTATCAGATCTGAGGAAAGGATTGAATAGCTGTTCTTCACCAAGGGACCAAATTATATAATAAAATATATAATCTCTGTCTGGAACCTTAGGGCCTTTTTTATAATTTGCATTTATCACAATAAAAACATCACTCATATGTTTATAGATCCATGAGTCGATGCTTTCAAAAGTGTTTGGTGCCATCTAGTCCCTACATCTGAAATCTGTAATATAAGTGGGGTGAAAAGAATTTTGCTAGGTTGATTCAGCATGAAATAATTGATAAGTGTATTTTTAAAAGTAACAATAGCTGGATGAAAAGATCTGCTTATGCTTATCTTGCATATTAGTGGATCCATAAAGGTTACTATTCTAGTCCTCCAGCAGAAATGGGCAGGCTAAAAGTTCTCTCTCTCTCTGGCAATGTTTCAGCCTCCCTTCATTGCTTTCCAGCAGCTGGAGGGTGTCCTACCATAGAGCAGTGTCAGCCCGTTAGTCAAGGCTTGGCTGCTTCCTGTGATCTCTGCTGTCCTGTGGGAGCTCTGTGTGTAAAGTCCTTTGGAAAGCAGCCTCAGATCTGGAAATGGGAAGTGCTGGCTTGTGGAAATGTCAGGCTTTTCAAACACAGCAAAGTAAATCTTGATATTCCTGTAAGGAACGTTTCTGTGGATGCAATTTCAATGCTACAGTGACAATAATGTGATGGTAGTACTGACCAGCAAGGTATCAGTGGTCAGCAGTGTTCCTTTGGGAATACTTCTTAATAAGTAATGCCCAAATGACAGACAGAAAGAGAGGGAGAGACTTTTTCTGTTACAAATACCACCAGAATGATGCTGGTATCCCATCCTGAATGCCTCGACAGAGGTTTACTACAGTGTTTTTGAATGAGGAACAAAGGCAGAATTTAGCTCCCTTTTTTCTCTACTACTCTACTTGTCCTGGAGGAACATAACACTCTGACAGGAGAAATTCCCCACCTTTGTGGACCAGTGTTACACTGTTAACTCAGTACTTTTTCCCTAGACCACCAGTCACAATCTTTTCACTGCTCATGTTTAAGGCATCTGCTAAGAAAATGCAGGGGGCTGACTGTCCTGTGGATTGTAGCTAGCAAACAAGTGCTGACTATACAAGAAGGGATATACTTTCAAAACAAACTCTGTATGTTTTATGGTGATATTTTATAACTTCATTGAAATCATCTTATGAGGGACAAAACTGGGCAGCTGAAGATGTCAAACTGGGAGGAGTGGTTGGTACAGCAGTGGGTGGTGCTGGCCTCCACAGGGACCTCACAGGCTGGAGAAATGGCCTGACAGGAGCTCCATGGATTGCAACAAGGAGAGGTGCAAAATCCTGCACCTGGGAAGGAACAACCCCTTGCACCAATGCATGCTTGGGGCCACCCAGCATATCCTGCAGCTTTTCAGAAAAGGATTGGGAGGTCCTG